TATCAACACTGTTAATTAAACCAGTAGTCATATACAATTTGCCTGTTTTCTTACCCCGAGCCAGTACCAATTTTCTTTTAGTAACATTTCAGATACTATTTGAGAAAACTACTGAATGTCCACATTCATCAAGCTGCCCAACAGAAATGAGGTTTTTCTTCAGTTCATAAATGTGTCTGACCTTTTGCAGAGTCCAATTGTTTTTATTTGGAAGTGCAATGTCAATATCTCTCATTCCTACCACATTCAGAGCTTATCCATCTGTCAGATATACTTTTCCAAAGTCACCTGCAACATAATTCAGCATCAATTCCCGATGGAAAGTTGTATGGAACGAAGCTTCTGAATCCAATATCCAGTTATTAACAGGACTATGAACTGTCAGCAGTAGTGCATCATGTCATTCTTCAGTTACCACATTTGCACTGTCAATCTCATTCTTCTTAAGATTCCTGTAGTTTCTCCTTATGTGGCCAGTTTTGCCACAATTCCAGCAAATTACTTGTTTGTCTTGACTTGCTCCTGCTTCTATTCTTTGATTTTGATCTTCCCCTGTTTGAGTTTCTGTTAAGTGATCTCCCTCTGGAATCAACATTTAGTACCGAACTCGAACCTGAGATCTCGCCAGAGTCTTTTCTGCGCACCTCCTCAGCCAAAATCAAATCACGAATATCTTCAAATTTCTGTTTAGATTTACCTGCAGAATTACTGACAGTCATCCTCATAGCTTCCCAGCTATTTGACAATGAAACCAACAAGATCAGTGCACGTATCTCATCATCAAATTCAATTTCCACAGACGATAATTGATTTGTGATGGTATTGAAATCATTCAGGTGTTGTACAACAGACGTACCTTTCGTCATCTTCAAATTAAATAACTTTTTCATCAGATATACCTTGTTATTCGCCGATGACTTTTTATACATACCTAACAGGGTTGTCATATGATTTGCAGTCGCCCTCTCCTTGACGACGTTGTGTGCAACGGACCTCGATAGGGTCAATCGAGTAACCCCCAGAACCTGTCGATCCAACAAATTCCATTCAGTCTCATCCATCCTTTGAGGTATTTTTCCCAATAACGGAAGATAGAGTTTCTTCCCATAGAGTTAGTCCTCTATCTGCATCTTCCAATAACTAAAATCTGTGCCATCGAACTTTTCGATCCCTGAAATCTTCACTTCGTCTGTAGCCATTGACTCTGATACTAGTTGTTGTGATGTTGTGATATATGAAATTTAAAATGATCGACGACGAAGCGATAAAATAACACGAGAAAATTCACACCAAAAGAACACACAGATTTACGTGGTTCGGCAAATTGCCTATATCCACAGAGTTGCAGAGGATTTTACTAATTGAGAAAATGTACACCAGTTTAATCACAACGCCAATTACATGATTTCTCACTTGCTCTTTCTCTTTTCACCAAGATTCACCTAAGAGCAAGAACAACGAAGAAGAAACACGTACAAGAGAAATAAACCCAATTTCTCTTCTGTCACAAGCCACCACGAGGAAGCCTAGAGAGAACAATCTTCTTCTTTCTTCTTCATTCTGCCGCAAAGAACTACTTCTTGCACTTCTCTTCCTTTGCCCCAAGGAAACCTTCCTCTATCCCGAGGAAACCAAAGAAGAACACCGTGACTTCACATCCAAAGGAGAGCCGTGCGCCCCTCTTTAATCGTGAACCGAAGGCGCGACATTCATGAAACGAGAAAGGGCGGGAACAGTTCGCATGTGTGGGAGCGTGAAGAGTCGCTACGATTCGCGAAATGGAGGAGGCGGGAGCGGGAGATCTGTAGCGGTAGCGGGAGATCGCGATTCACGATCGCAGGAGCGGAAGAGGGAGGTCGAACCGGGCTCCACTTCTAACAACATTCACATAGCTCACTTATGTAACTCTCAGGCAAAGATATCCTCCCAGCCTTAAGAAAGGCGGGCAAAGGATTTCCAAATTTCAATGTGTATTAGCATATGTTTTATGATAATATAGAAACAAAATACAAAAGGGGAATTTCCCACTACATTAAGAATGGTCGGCACGGGCTTTTATCCTACACATGCCCCGAAAGGTGACTATAGGTAATTTATTGTTCTGAGAAAGGCAAGCATAATCTGTACATAATGGCTTTTTTCTATGAGTGAGGAAAGCACAAACCCTTGCTTGCTTCAATCGATAAAATGAGGTGAAATCATTATAAAATAATTAAGAAAAATACCTTATTGGTAGGTGATATTGAAAAGCTTTCTTACGACATTTAAACATCCTTGAGAGATTTTAAATTTTGAAACTCAAAATTCATTTAAAATGTTTCATATCAATATTACTATACCTTTAAAGTGCTTCCTTTGAGCAGGAAATTGGAGCGCATTTTATTTAGGGCTTTTTTTGAATCAAATTTATTTTTTCTTTATTTTTTTTTTTTTAAAAGCATATTTGATTATTGTGTTTTTTATATATTTTTATTTTTTTATCTCTATTATTTTTTAAAACACTTGATATAACTTTTAGATGTTTTGAATATTTTAAAAATAATCATATCTTAATCAAATATCCCAAACATACTTTGTTTCAAATCAAAATATAAACATAACAAAATAAATATAAAAAATAAAAAACAACAGCGATCACAAATGGCCCCTTAGTTCATTGCTTGTGTTAGGTCGGGCAGCCTTCGATTTCTTTCATGTCAGTTATTGACAGTCCTATTGGTGCCACTAGTCATAAATGCCATTCTACACCCAATTTCTTATTTTGTCCGACTCTCCTAAAGCATGATTTGATTCCAAGAAGCTCATCAATTCAGGACCTGATAAACCTTTTTTTATTGGTTATTTATGAGATAAATTATGCTATAAAATGAAAAATGATTAATTTTTATGTATGATCAGCTTAACCTTTTTCCTCTTTTCACTGTACCCGTGTTCTTTTTTACTTGCAGTTGGAGAAGCTGTAAATCAGAAATTTGTCCTTGGTTATGTTCTGTTATCCTTGTTTACACTTCCATTTTTTCCATGATACTTCTTTTAGAACCAGCATTTGCTCCTACTACGTAGCTCTTAGCATGAAAATTTACATGTATTTTGCAGGCAAGATGTTGCTAAGGCCATTCTATGGGGCTTCCTATTTCTTTTATTGGTTTTAGCCTCCATTGTTAGCCTGTATTTAAAATTTCTCAGGTTCTCTCTTCTTATTATTTTTTTGGGAATCCTTCTTCCTACATGCCTGTGGATGTCCAGGCACAGAAAGCTAGCTAAGAAAAGGGAGAGAAGAATGCTTTTACCTCTGTCCATGTAACTAATCACACTATTTAGAACTATGTTATAATTGTTGACAAATAGTGCTCCAAATGCTGCTGTGTTACTTAAAATGTTCAAATCAACAAATCATACCTTCCAATTCCTACTTATTGAAGTATCTAACACCTAAACATTATCTTTTATGTTTTTTCCATTCAAATCTATCATATCACATCTTACATACCATCATTTTAATTTTTTAAATGGGAAATATACCTTTTCATGTTTGTTACTGTGGTAATGTATATAAAAATTGAAGTTTAGGTGTTAGATATGTAAATGCACGGGAACTGAATGGTATGAATGTAAATCTTCCTTTATGATAATCCAACTATATACTTTATTCTTGATCTAGTAGGAACGCATGTGCATACAAGAAATAATTTTACATGATAGAAAAGAACCTGAAAAGATAAATTTATTGATTTATTTATTTTGAAATATATTTTCACATCGACTGCAATATTTACATTTCCCATTTATGTGTCATGACCACTTAACAAATTTGCCTAATTTACAACCTATTAATTTATATTGTTATATATTTATGATTAGGAATGAAAGCCTGACATAAATAAAAAAAAGGGCTAATTAATGAGGATCCAAATAAGACTAGGGCTACGTATCACTGACTCCTTTTGTATTTGCATGTATAACACATATACTTAGTACTTTTTATATTTGTACCACCTGAATATTTCATGTCACTTTATAAATATTTTTATTATAACTTTTAAAAAGCAAGAACACATTTTTATGCATAAGGCGATATATGGATATTTGTATAAAATGATATTGAAGTGGCAGACGATTAAATACATGAGGATTGAGGAGTGCTGTGCATGTAAATCTTCCGTAAGATTAGTATACAATGAGGGGTTAGGATGCGTATTTAAGTTTGTTAGTGAGTTAATAGCAAGAGACCGGCGGGTTTAAATTAATTTGATTATATTCAATCAAATTAAAAATATGAATTTTAAAAATATATATCTTTAAATTTTATAACAAGTGGCTTTTTTTTTCCATAAATTTAATTATTGTATTTATTATTTAGTTATAAAATTAGATTGAATTAATACTATTTTTTTCTTTTTTGTAATAAGTTTGACCCGGACTCATAAAATTAAGCTCGAGCTCAAGAGAAAAAAATTGATGAATTAATCCAACTCAAGGTTAAGCCTTAGATGGGTTGAGAGGTCGAGAGGTCAACTCCACTCATTTAAGCCCTTAGTAAAAGAAAAAAATTTTGTGCGGACTCCTAACGTAGCTCTACGTGCGGACCAAGTTATTTCTAAGTAATTTTCAGGTTATTTTTAATAATACTGAAATAACTCAGAAATATCCCAAAAATAAAGACTGCGGGTTATTTCTGGATTATTTCGGTATTATTGAAAATAATTTGAAATAACTTGATTCGCACGTAGAGCTACGTCAGGAATCCGGACAGAAAAAAACGCTCCTTAGTAAGGGCTTATCAACCGAAAATATTGCTAAAACTTTGCCATAAAAATTCAAACATCTATCAATAAAATAAACTTCTCATATTCGCCGCCAAAACTTTTTTTTTTATTTTTAATGTTTTTGAGGCATGTGTTTAGTATGCGACTAATTTGCTTTTAGTTTATGTTAATATTTTTCATTTTTAATGTTTCTTTTTATATTTTTTTGGTTGTTTGCATGATTTGTGCAAGTAGAAGGCAAGTTGGGCATAAAACAAGCACACGAAGAGCTGGTGGTTTTGCGCCAAGCATGGTTGCTTTTGCGCCCATTACTTCCAAGTGCGTCAATCTCCTATTTAGTGAGTTGAGCATTTTTGCACCCAGCATTGGCGCTTTTGCGCCCATGGTGCCTTTAGCGCAAACCATGGACCGGGCGCTTTTGCGCCCAGCATGGGCGCTTGAGCCCCCATTTTGTTAAAACACGCTAAAGGGAGTTAAAGGACGCTTTCTCTCACGCAGCGGTCCCAAGGGACGAAGTAATGAAAAGCTAGAGCCGTTGGATTGACGATCCATCAGTAAATGCACTTGACATAAAAAAACAATGCTAAAAAAGATGGAGGGGTGGTTCTCTAGCATTTTTACTTCTCTCGTTCCGGGGAAAGATTTGGGTACTTTTATTTTTCTGAGCCATCTTTGTAAGTGTGAGAGGGACATTGTGCAGAGAACTTGTGTATAATTCAGTAAGAAGCATTGGAGGAGACTGGGAGCAAGATTGTGGAGATCTTTCACTGCATACTTATTTGTTTTCTCTATCAAACTTGTATTTTGTTTTTGTTTAATGAATCAAAATATGGACTCCGTGCATGCTTAGGAACTAAACTTTTTGATTCTCTCTTGATTTGGTGAATAGAAATTTTAGGTTTTGATGGATGTTTTGAGTTGTGCAATGTGGTGTTACTGTGAAAATTAATCTCTCACATATTTTTGTTTGTATGCAAACTGACCGCTTGTTTTGTTAACTTATTGTGTGATCTTTGTGTTAAGAAAGTATCCTTAGTTAAACATTTGAGATTAGTTTCATTAAGTTCTGAGAATAGGGACATTGCTCAAGATTTAATGCTAACTTGTTAGGAAATGTTGAATTATAGAATTCCACTAAGTGTAGAGAACTCATTAGTGAAATTCATTAACTTTCTTAATTCCATCGAAAGTTGATGAGAAAGAGGGTACTTCCTGTTAGTTACCTACTATTGACACTTACATCAAATTTAGTTTTCTATGATTCATATCAGAGGAGAATCATTCTCTCACATAAGTCTCTTCACTTAATTAAGATAAGATTTTTTTTGCAAAAAAAAAAAAAAAAAATGGTAGACAGTTTACTTGAACCAAAACTGAAACTTTTCATGCTTGGACTAATAATTGTAGGCTAGAACTTTCTAAATTGTGTTCATCTTGTTCCCCGTGGGATCGACAACCAGACTCCAACCCAATACCACCGGTATTATCGATAAATCACGTATATTTGTCTGAACTGCTCGTGCTTGACAGCTCTAGTAGGTGTCAGGTATCAATAAAATAAAATTTTTAAATAACCAAGGAATAACATAAATTATTAATTTCTTATGCTGCTTGCATATATCTTTGAACATATCAAGGCCTCATATCCAATTCCAAAATGCAAATTTACTTCAACTAATGTTAAAAAGACAATATAAACGAATAATTATAATAATTTTTAAAAGTTTAAATGGTGACATTTTTGATGTGAAATGAAAATTTTGGATTGTAGAAATGTAAAGAAAAATAAAATTTAGGTGTTATATATATAAATGCATAAAACTTAGGTGTACGCATGTATGTAAATGTCAATTCTATGCATACAGTCATATCAAAACAGTGTTATCCATTAGGGCAAGTACTTTAGGAACCTCGATCATGTCTTATGAAAGCAACTTAGTTTCTGAAAGTACATTATCATTAATTGTATAAATATAATCACGCCTCAATTATTAAGGCCCATGTGAAATGATTTATGAGATGAATCAAATAGCCTCAAGAATACTCAATTACGAGGTTACTAAACACCGAAGGAATAACATGTGATTAAGGAAATTAATATGAAGTGTCCAATATAATACTTTGAAATTGTAGTTAAATTTATTCAAATATCATTCTAAAAAATTATAAAAAAGAATTTCATTCTCTATATAAAGAAAACTTGAACTTTAGTTTGTAATGAGCTTAGAGAAATGGAGAGCTCTAAAACTTTGTTTACGTATACCAGTGATGACTAATAGCGAAAACAATAACCTAATCATCTTCACCAATTCGTCGTCGTTCGAACATCATTGATTGACTGTTGTCATTGATCATCTTCTCATCAATGCTATTGTTAGTCCATATTTGCTTGACTGCTAGTGACGTCAACTATCATTTGGCTACTATTATTCGACTTTCATCCTTCAAATATCATGCTAGATTGTTATATGGCCACATTCACTTGATTGTCACCAACATTTAATTGACATAGTTTGACCACCATTAAAATTATTATCAGTTAATTGTTATCTTCACCCCCTATTACAAGTGTATTAATTTGTAATCTTACATTCTATGGCATAAACATAAAAGCACAAGAGTTTATTGTGGTGTGAATGTACAATAACATTGAACTTGTAAGGAAAACACAAGATTTTTCTATGGATTCTCTCTCTCTCTCTCTCTCTCTCTCTCTCACTCACACACACACACACATATGATACGTCATCAGTAGATCTATCATTTGACTCACATTTTGAAGTATGACACGGATCTTGAGACGACTTTTTGAACAAGAAATATTTAAAATTCAATTGTGAGACATATAGAGCTCCGATTTTAGCAAGCTTACAATCAAACTGATCGGCTCGACGATAGGGACTCAATGATACCAAAATTGGTCAAATTTAAGTCAAATCAAACTCAAATCAAGCCATCAAATCACTTTTGAAAGCTTTTCAAGCATATTTAGAAGTCAAACGAAAGGCGAATTTGGTGAGCTTATGATCAAATCAAGCGTCTTGATAAGATGAATCCGACGAGCTAAAGATTGCTCACTTCCACATCATTAAGACAGCCAAATGTCCATCAAATGCCCTAATTGAGGGTAACCCTTTGAGTCGTTCGATCAAAGTGGTTTATATTTCTTCATTAATTTCAACCAAACTTTATGAATTGAGCCCCTTCTCTCTCATGAAGATGGGGCTTGAAGCTTGGACGAGAGCTTGAAGGGTGGAGAAGTAGTTCAAGTCCAACATCACTCATGCCACCGTTGACCATCATCGACCACTGTTGACCACCATTTGCTGGTCGCTCCTATCCCCATTGATTCTTGTGACAAGTTTCTCCACGCATCGATGTTATAACTCGGGAGACTTTGCAATATTTTCCCGCCTATGGGACAAGGGATTCTACTTGTAATCTTCAGTTAATAGTAGATCTCTTCAACTGGGCCAGACCCATTGTTTTTTTCCTTTACGGGTTTTCTACGTTAAAACTTTTGGCATCTTGACTGATTGTTTTCTGTCACCTAAATGTGTGTTGAGTTCTCGTGCAATGTTAAGATGATAATCAATTACACTATCACCATGGATTTTTTAGCACACATTAGTTTAGCGGTGTCTGTGAGAAACGAAGCACCGTTTGACACTGTCTTCAACTCTGAGACGCTAAGCCATTACATCCTTTCCCAATAATGTACATCATCCAACTGGTGGAAGAACCTTTTTTGCATCTCGAAGATCATCTCTGAAGCATTCTTCGATGTGAGGGGCAACCTTCACTGCAATCTCAAAAAGTTGTTCACATCGACGTCTTAGGAACGATTATAGTTGGGTTGTCTTCTCACATCCTATTCAGACATAAAGTCTTCAAGACTGAGGGAGGGGCAACCTTCACTGCAGTCTTAAAAGGTCATTCATGTTAAAATTTCAGACACGACTGTCGTAGGGTAGTTATCCCATATTTTGTTTAGACAACAAGTCCTTGAAAACCGCTCCTAGGCTGAGGCCAATCTTCATCGCAAATAGCACTTTCTCAGCGCTCCCTCATTGTACTGGAGTACCTCTACAACTAGATCAAGAACCTAATCTCTTCAAGGCTCGATACATATATTGCTTTACAAGCTCTTGTGGAAAACGACCCTGCCGGGGGGCAAAAGATTGAAAAACAACAACTAGCAAGTTATAAAATATTATTTTTAAGTGTGACTGCAACCATACTTAAATAAATAAATAAAAAAAAAAAAACATATGCTACCCCTGAAAGTCGAGCCTAACAAGCAAGATTCGATGAGAAACTATCATGCCCGTAAAAGTCGGGCCCAAGAGAGGCAAGACTCGATGGGAAGCTACCATGCCCCTGATCGAGCCCAAAAGGCAAGTCTCGATGAGGATATACAATACCCCTGGAATTCGAGCCCAAAAGGCAAGACTAGATGAGAAGTTATAATGTCATTCGAAGTCGAGCCTAAGAGACAAGACTTGAAATACTCGATAGAAAAATACGATACTCTTGGAAGTCAAACCCAGGAGGCAAGACTCAATATGAAGGTACCATGTTTTTGGAAGTCAAGCCCAAGAGGCAAGACTATACGAGAAAATACAATATCCCTGGAAGTCGACCCTATGAGACAAGACTCAATGGGAGGCTACCATGCCCCTAGAAGTCAGATAACACCTTTCTTCCAAAACTGATGTTCTGCTTGGTTAGCCTTCTTCAATTAGACTCTTAGGGATATATTTACAATTATTGTTATAGAGCTAAAAAAGAAATTATGAAAGCAATAGGCAAACATTAATGTGGCAATGCAAAACATTAAAAAAAGTATTCTAAAGGTTTGAAAAGTAAAACATTAAAAAGGCATACCAAGCGCCTAAATTGCAAAGGGATATAATTTGGTTGGTTGGAAAAATAACATAATGTAATTGAAATGTAGCATATTTGAAATGAAACATAGAAATTTATTATTTTATGTTCATTATTTGATTTGAGATAAAATCAAAGTAATTTAAAATAATATCTCTAACCAAATGACCTCTAAATTGTTTGCTAACATAACATTTCGACCATTTTAATCCATCTTTTTCTATACATATGTATTATTCAAAATTTACACTTTCACCCCATCAATTTTCAAACTAAGGAAAAAAATAAAAGTCTTGCTTATTTCATGGCTAGTTATCATAGAATTTGTGTGACCCCAAAAAAAGGAATTCATGCAACTGGTGCAGCTCGACATACCCTAACTTTTAGATTACGTACATGCACTCCACTCAACTCCTATGCATTTACATATCTAACTCCTAAACTTCAATTTTTACAGATATAATCCCATTCAGCCATAACGAGCTCCTTCACCGAATTTTCTCAATGGCTATAGAGCTTCTCCTTGTCATTTTCTTCTCATCTCCCATCCTTCTTATTACTCTAACCACCTTGTTAATTATAATTAGTTTCCGGACAAGATTAATTATCAACCCAGAAGACAGTTACCGGAATCTTCCTCCCGGCGATCTCGACGACTGGCCTTTCATCGGCGACTTCGTCGACCCACAAATCGCCGAATATTTAGTTGAAAGAAGCTTTAATTATCAAGTTATTGGATTTCTTTTCTTTTCGCCCTCCCTCGATTTAATGTAAATTCTAATCCGTTGATTGATTCTGTATGATTTGTTTTTCGTTCCTCCGAAAACTTGTAATGCTAAGAATCATGATTTCAATCATGTTTTATCTATTTTTAATAATGTTATTTCTAGAAACAATCCAACTAATTACGATCATTATTTTAGTTCCAATGACAATTCTCAAAACAAA